GCTGAGGCCCCCGAGCTGGAGGCAGTATCATCCCCCGAATCTTAGTTTACTAAAATTTTTCTCTTTTCTGTCTCAGAGGTGGTAAGTAAATGGAGCTGAGCCCCGACTCAGGGCTTGTGACCCTTGCAGGTGCTGGGAACTTTGCTCCCTTGCTTGTCTTTGTGCTTTTAGCAACAAATATTTGGAGTATGGTCTCGGGTTCTGCAGTGCTCAGGGGGCTCAGTAATGTGGCACCCGCCTCAGGCTCATCAGCCATCACCGTGTCACCAAATCCATGGGCTACCAGTCCGAAATCCTCCCCATAACACAGGGGGCAACGGTGCGGTCTGTTTTGGCTTTATAATTCTGTTTTGCTGATGTAAAATGTCCTCCTGTTTGCAGGTCACAAAGGAAGACGTGGAGGGGAGCGGAACCCAGGATGTGCTCCCTCCGGCTCCGACCTCGTTAGGGACGGTGCCGGGGACCGATGGAAGCGCTGTGCCCGTTGCCCGCCGTCCTCTCGGAACCAAAGCCTGGGCGGGTGATCTGTGAGGAGCTGGTGTTTCACCTTCCCCACGGCTGCTGTAGAGAGTCTCCTCCACCTTGCTGCGCCCAGCATCGGCTTTCTGACCCCGAGCGGAACCGCAGACCGTCTTCTCCCTGAAAGTAAAGGCAGCGTGTAAAAATAGGTTCTCCAGGGATCCCCGGGTTTGAGAGAGAGGAAGCTGCCGACTGCCTTCTGCTGGCGGGGAAGCTGAAAACACGGAGCATGACGGAGTCACGGATAAAACGTGAGTGTCGGAGCGTGGTGGGAGCGGGTGAGGGGCTTCAGGGCACCGGCTCTGCTGTAGGGGAGTCTCCTTCCCTCCGGCCGCAGCCCCCCCTTGCCTCGGGCTGCTCTTTCTGCCCAGCTCCAGCGCAGCTTTTCTGCACTGCTTCCGTCCGGACAGAGCCGGGTGGGAAGTCTCCCTCAGTAATAAGGTTAAATTGCCTCGCCGGTGCCGCCAGGGGAGCTCAGCTCTGCCTCGGGAGTCTGCGGTGGAGCAAAGAGCGAAGCTGCCGGATCCGGTGTGCCGTAGCTCTCTGCAGCATCTGGAGAGACGTACTGGTCGGGGACGGGAGGAGGGAGCAGTTCTCCCCGCACAGTAATTCCCTGCCCTAGAAATTAGTCTCGGGCCTTGTCTCCGCTGCAAATTGCATGAGCTTAAATAGTCTCTAAATGTTTAAACTGGTGTAAACTCTTGTGCATTTCCCAAATTAATCCCAGCCAGCTTTGAAATGAGTCTCTCTCTCTCTCTTTTTTTTTTTTTTTAAGGCAATAAAGAATTTTCTGGTTTAATTAAGCCACAGGGAAGGGGTGGGTTGGGGTGGGAGTGGGAATTACCTTCAGCAGCAGCACGAGGTCACGTTTGCTTTAACGTGACTGTGGGGTGAAAGTCTCCACACCCCCTGCCTTGGGAAATGGACCCCCCCAAAGTGGGGCCGTGGGGTGGGTGGGAGCCCCGGGGTGGCACCGTG